CCCCCCCCCCCCCCGACGACATTGAGTATAGACGTCGAAAACTGACAGTAGCACCATATCATGTTTGGCCTCGAACTTGCGAGCCAATGCGAAGAATGCAGACAATATAGCGAGTTTTAAGAGAGCAATTTTTTGTTGGAAATGAGGCTCACATACACAAATGGTAAGTTTGTATCCAAGTTGTTTGTTATTTTAGCATTATTTATCTAATAATAATAATAATAATTTACTTTATTATTTTTTAATGTTAATCATTTAAGCTGTTGAAAAAAATTATTCAAAACGTTGACTAGAAAACAATGCATCGTTCCCAAACATGGTCTTATACTGTCCAAGTCGTATGCACACTAAAGTTTTCCTTGCCGCACACAATTCGAAATTGAACGCCTTTTCGGGTAGTGAGGAGTAGACCTGGTAATCGGGTCAATCGGTTCGGGTCCGGGTCGGGTCTTTTCGGTTCGGGTCTCTTTCGGATATATGTTATAATCAGTTCGGGTTGGTTCGGGTCGGGTCAGTTCGGTTCCGAGTTTATTTCGGTTTGACTGGTTTTCGGTTTCGGTTCGGTTTCGGTTCGGGTTTATATTGGTTCGGGTCTGTATCGGTTCGGGTCTCGGGTCTGTATCGGTTCGGGTTTGTATCGGTTCGGGTTTGTATCGGAGTATAAAATAAAAGATTTGTACATGAAAGTAGTTACATGGTTTGCACTCATAATTTAAATATGTTTTTTAGAAACATATCAACATATGTAAAAATATATAGGTAATTCTTTTCTTCCAAATTCATTTGATAAATGAAATATTAATGAATTTGATCAATTTCGGGTCTAATCGGTTTCGGGTCTAATCGGTTTCGGGTCTAATCGGTTCCGGGTTTAACCGGGTTCGGGTTTAACCGGGTTCGGGTTTAACCGGGTTCGGGTTTAATCGGTTTGGGTTTAATCGGTTCGGGTTTAATCGGATTCGGGTCTGAATCGGGTCTGAATACATTCGGTTCGGGTTCAGTTCGGTTCGGATCATTTCGGGTGTTCGGTTCTATTTTGGTTCTTCAGTTTTTGGGTCAAATCGGGTTCGGTTCCGGGTTATTCGGTTCGGGTTATCGGGTCCGGGTCAGTTTTGCCAGGTCTAGTGAGGAGTCACACACTATATAGCAACCCCACTAATAGCTAATTAAACATATTCCCTCACTCCCAAAAAAATTATGGTATCCTTTTTCAGTCAAAATGTGGTATTTTTTTTTACCACAAGTTAGTTTTCAGGCCGTTGGGTACATACTCCATACGGATAACTGGGCTAAAAACTAACTGGCCGCTAGGAATGAACGTCTAGAAGAATACATTGACAAACAATGTTGGCCAAAGCCTGCTCCGATATCATGTTAAAATTCCGATGGGTCAAGAACAACGAGTAGGGTATCAGGTAAAGCTTACACTACAAGAATTTGTCTGGTCTGCAACGGAAATATGCTACGGACCTATTTCCGTAGCGGATCTGCAACGAATCTGCGACGGACGAATTATTTATGAAAAATGAAAGTGATCTGCGATGAAATTTCATATTCCGTCGCAGATCTGCAACGGAAAATAGAGTACTGTCGCAAATCTGGAGACGACCAAGTTGGTCAAATTTTTCACAAAATATCTGCGACAGTTTAATTATTCCGTCGCAGATCTGCAACGGAATCTGCTACGGGCAATGTTCTGTCGCGGATTTTTAATAAAAATAGGGATCTCAGTCTCACAACTCAAAATCGAAATCAGTTCACTCGCCATCCCTTAACCCTCGTCAGCCATCCAGCAGCGCCTTCCCTCGCTGTCCTCCTCGTCGCGCTGCGCCAGCGCTCGCCGCCGCCGCCGCCGCCGCCAGTGTTAGCCCACGCCACGCCAAATCCCCCAACCGTCAGCCGTCCCACGTCACGCCAGATCCCCCGACCGTCAGCCGCCGCCGCCCTCGACCGAGTTCCCTCGCCACCACTCACCGCCGCCGCCACTCAACCGCCAGTCTTCCCCGCTGGTCCTCTTTACAGTGAATTTCAAGATAAGGTATTTTTGTTTACTATTATATAATTTATTATTATTGTAATTTTTGGTGAAATTGAATTTGTTTGTCTGAAATTGAGTGCATTTTTGGTGAAATTTAGTTGAGATTGTGTGAATATGAGTTGAAATTGACATGAAATTGGGTAAAAGTTGTATTAGTTTTTCGTGAAATTGATAGCATTTAAGTTGTAATTTTAGTTGAAATTGTGTTTGTTAATTTAACATTTAATGAGAATTTAGGTAAAATTTACTTCAATTTTGTGAAATTGAGTGCATTATAGGTTGATATCTGTAGTTAAATGATTGTTGTTTTNCATTTTTGGTGAAATTTAGTTGAGATTGTGTGAATATGAGTTGAAATTGACATGAAATTGGGTAAAAGTTGTATTAGTTTTTCGTGAAATTGATAGCATTTAAGTTGTAATTTTAGTTGAAATTGTGTTTGTTAATTTAACATTTAATGAGAATTTAGGTAAAATTTACTTCAATTTTGTGAAATTGAGTGCATTATAGGTTGATATCTGTAGTTAAATGATTGTTGTTTTTGGTTGAATACGATTTTCGTTTCTTAGCCTTTATTGTTGCTATTGTTGGTTGGTAATGAATGTGGTTGATATTCTTAGTTTAATGAGGTGGCATGAAGAGTACTGAAGATCACGAGGACATAGGTGGCGATGACCACGACTCCGAGGACCTTTTAATCATACTTAGATGTTTCATTTGATGTATTTTAGCCTTGTCTTCTTGTAATGTAACTGCACTATGTTCTAATTAGCATGTAACAACTCTACATGTTTTTTCTAGTTTCCCTATTAGCATTAACCTCTCTGTGCAAGTGTTAGGCCCAGTTGTTGCTGATGGAATGACTTGTGCTTCCATGTATAAGCTGGTTCGTGTCGGGCATGACATCCTCATTGGGGAAATCATGTGATAAGAAGGAGATTCAACTACAATTTAGAGTATGTGATTCATGATCTTATTCTTTAATAATATAATCTATGCTAATGTTTTAATCTTCCTGGAGAACATGTAACTCTTTTGCATCCATCTCCCACGGTTCCCCTTCTCTTTGTTGGCTAGTAAAGTGTGAAATTGAATACTATGTATGTCTTTTGATGTTTGTGTGACTAGATCATAGTGCAAGTTGCAAGATCCACCAGAAAACCATCATTTTTAATGAAGAGGAAAACCAAGATCAAGCTTTCAAGGGAACTGCCTTCAAGTCCAAAATTTAGGTTTGTTTTAATGCTGATTTTGTGTCCTTTGAAGTGCTTATTTGCTTGAATATGAACTCTAATCTCAATATAAAGCACATTGGCTGATTCTTGAAGCATAACATGAAGTTCATATGTTGATTCTGATGCATTATGTATTTAATTTGCAAAAAAACCTGATCTGATTTGCATTCTTTTTAAAAAATCAGCAACTTTTTTCTTGATTTATAATCTTATTTTTGTATTCCTAGAGTCTTATTAGCAACTTTTTGATGCATTATGTTTTGAATATATGGAATTTTTGAAGTATTTTTTGTTTACTTATTTCTTCTAATTTTGTATTTTTTCTCTTGTACTTGTTGATAGGTGGAAGCAAAAAACTTGTGTTCAGGCTCAATTCATCGAACTGTGCGAGGAGGCTAGATAGAAAGGGCTGCAAGTCACCGACCAAGAAATACGTTATTCGCTAGTCGTGGGCCGTGATAATCTAACCTCGAGCTTGTCACTGACGATTCAAGAGGAGATAAAGAAGCTATATGGTGGTATCCTTCCTCGATGAGGCGATGATGATGGAACAGGAGGTGCAGGACAGCTCGAGATTTGTTGAGACCTTTACGACCTTAGCTTCCTCCATTTTAAGCGCTTGACACTAACACTTTAATATTCATTATTAGAATATAATGAATTATGTTACATTTGCACGTGAAGTTTTCATTAATCTAGCTTTGAATTATCAATGTGTGTGAAAATTGAATGTGTTTTGCCTCCAATTTTAGTATCTAATGCCTAAAACCAGAAAAATTTAGGTTGATCATCCAAATATTTGCGACGGAACCATCTGTTGCTGTTTTTGTCACAGATCTGCGACGAAGGTGTCCGTTGCTAATTCCGTCGCAGATCTGCAACGGTTCCTAATTTCCGTCGCAAATTACATCCGATGAAAAAAAGGAAATTCCGTTGCAGGTCCGTCGCAGATCTGCCACGGAATTTAAATTCCGTCGCAGATTTTAAATCTGCCACAACTTTTCTGCGACGGAAAGATTTCGTAGCAGATCCGTTGCAAAATGGAAATCTGCCACGGAATTTCAAAATCTGCCACGAAATTTGTCCGTTGCAGATCGGTAGTTTTCTTGTAGTGTTATAGGGAGGGATTCACCCTTTTATATATGCTAGATAGTAGTATTTATTTTTATTTTTCTGATGTGGAAACTCCACAAGAAATACTTTATTTTGCTATTATATAGGTTGATAGTCTGCATATGTAATCTTCAATCTCTAAGTAAATCTCAATCTGAAATCTGTAAGCTGTGAAGAAAAATTTATTCAATAAAATTTTTCTCTTCTGTGTATGGAGGTTACCAGCTCACTATTGGTAAAGTATGTTAAATCTCTGCCTTTTTTTTGTGATTGTTAAATGTTTACGTTTATATATTTCTTGAATCAGTCATATAAAATAAATTTTAAAAGTGATTAACTATAAAAGTCAAAACTGAATAAATACTAAAAAAAATATTATACAAATTTAGCAACATGCACAAAAAAGGGGGGTTTAAGTTAGATGGAAGTTTTGGCAACAAACAAATTAAAGGGGAGTGCACATTACATGTATTAGGCACGTAGTAAATTAAGTTGCGTGTGACCTAATAGTCAACCACAAGACAAAAAAACAAATTACTAAAAATCGGTTTTCCTATTCTGTTCGGTAGCTAGGCATGTGATCCCCGAGAATTTTAGAACCAAACGGGAGCAAGCAATGTTTATGATTAATGCGACATGAGGAAAATGATTTCGCCATATATCATTTTTGTCATTTGAAACTTGAAAGATTAACATGAGTCTATGACCTTATATCATTTAATAAAAATAAATAATAAAATTTAAATGTTACTCTAATTAATATTTACGGAGTATACATTTAAGACGTACTACTACTTAATTTATGTGAGAAAGTTCGTGATTTTATATGCATTTTGAGCGTATAAAAAAATATCCATTTCAAAAGTAACTCGTTCATATATAAAGGTGCAATATGGCATGTATTGCCGAGTTTAATTCTTGAAAACTACTCAGTGTGTTACATATAACTATGTTATAGACACACTTCCTATTCTTGTCCTCGATTCGAATTCTATACTTTGAATTCTGTGTACCAAACGTAGCCTAAAATTATTTGAAATAAACTTATAAAAGTAGTGTTGGAGCATTTTACTTTTGTGCCTAGCCATACATTTATGTTCAGTTGTTCACTTTGTTTAAGTACATGGAAGTTCATCACTTGATCCCTTGAGCATATCTTACTTATATATTCATGTTTGGTGTCGGCAACTCTCAACAAAAAAAAAACATTTTACTCCGAACATTAATGTAATGCCATTTTGTAGCGGACCTGTACGTGGTACTTGATCTTGGTAGCTTAGTTGGCCAATCCGTTTATAGTTTGATTTTGATCCATTTGGGCTCGGCATTGTTTAAAGTAGTATGACATGCATGAATTGGGGCACGTTAGGTGTAGTTAAAGTAGGGCAATGCTAGGTGTACCCTAAAATAGGGTTCTCCATTTGTACCCAGTCATTTAAAGACATATACGCACTTTTCATGTCTGTACATGCACAGATGTGGACACAGATATGAATAGTCATTTAAAGACATATACGCACTTTTCATGTCTGTACATTCACAGATGTGGACACAGATATGAATAGTCTGTGTGTGTGTCTATGAACGCCTGGCCGAATAGGGTACAATTAGAATAAGGAGAACTCATTGGATATGAATAAAAAACTATGCAAATACCAAAATAAGAGTTTTAAATCTTTTAAGACCAAAATAGAAGTTCATACTGTCATTATTACACTGTCACACTCACTACATTTTCGCATTTTAACTGCCACACTGTCAAATCGCTGACAATTAATTGGTTACCCTAACATATTACATTATCATCACACTATCAATGCGTAGTTTTGCACCGCTCAGTCATTATACTCTTATTTTGGTCTTAAAAGACATAAGACTCATATTTTGATATTTTCATACTTTTTACTCATATTCAAAGAGATTTCTTAATAAAATACCTCGGTGTGGGTAATAAATCATTAAAGTAATACTCCGTATGAACTATGAAGAAATACAAGTCGACGCCTTGTTTGGGAACATTATTACAATTAGCGTCAACATTTTAGAATTTTTTTTAAATAAAAATAGATTAACTTAGAAAACATTTAAATAAACACTGTTATTCAATAACTATTTCAAAACATTGAAGTTGGAATGAATATGTCCTCAAGAACATACAGAAGGTCCTTACATTCTGCCCACACCCAAAGTCCACTGCCCATAAACGAAATCGTTGTGTAGCTTATACTCCGTATGTTCGAATACAAATGATCAGTCAGAAATATGGTTACAGCTCTTAAAAAATTACAAGTCTATATATAAGATGATAACTAATAGGGGTATCCGTGCATGCCCGCAGATGACCGATACTGAGGGTGGAACCCACCCGAACGGTATTCAGGCACTGCCCTTGAAGAAGTGGCGGGGCGGTACTCTGGATGTGGGACCACTGCAGAACGGCTCTCAATAGCTCGAGACGAGGAATAGTACTCGTCTGGTGGGGAATAATCACCTCTGTGAACAGAAAGGCCAGCAAGGTATGAAGGACGACCACGGGGAATATAGTTTGTGAGCCCACGTATGTAGACTGCCCTAGGGTCGTCCTCCCTGTAGGGAGACTTATGGTCCAGATCATCATAATGCCGACGATCATGGGTGATCCTATCGTGCCTATAGGGATCATCATAATGCCGACGGTCATGGGTGATCCCATCATGTCTATAAGGATCATCACCCACTGCTAATGGCACTCTTCTGTAAGCATCCGTTTCCAAAGGCCTGTCGTAGACATATGGATGAGCAGATGAGGAGGGAAGTGGTCGCAAGAGTTGATGGGACCCACGAGCTTCGGGAATGCGTGAGAAAGGATGAATGTGGTCTGTTTCATAATGGCGAGGGTAGTCACGGTATGTATTCTCCCTCACAGGAGACAGCCTCCTGTTTCGGTCAACCCTGTCTTGGCTGATGACCCGGTCTTTTTCCACACGGTCCTCCCTTCTCTCTGCTTTGGGGCGCGTGGGTCGGTCAACCCCGTGTTTTCTAGTTTTGTTTCGGTCAACAACTTTACTGCTCTCTTTCTTGAGGGGTCTCTTTGGCTTTTGGGGATTGGAACTTCCACGGCCAGCTCTAAAGAGCTTGCACAAGTCCTTGACCTGTGTCGAACGACACCCAGATTAATTTAGAATGCATTAACATATGCATGATTGGTTATCAAAGAGTTTAACACTTTACCTGATCAGTGGTCAATTCACAGCGAAACTTGTTCTTTGTGTAATAGTTCTTTTTTATAACATTCTTAAACTTCTCTTCAGCCAAAGGATTGCAATCTTCAAGAATACGAAACCTGACCTGAATTATTTGCCAGGTAGCAATAGCACATGTGAAAGACAAATATTATTCGACCTTTGCTTTTAAGAAAATGATCAGCTACATCTAACTCATCAGTTATGAAGTAAACACAGTGCAATGCAAACCATTCACCAAATGACCATTCACTAGATCACCACACAAGTAGTTCCTCACAGACAAAAAAGAGTAATGCAATTATGCATGAGATCTAATCCTTTGACTTTATTACCACAAAAAATCAAACATAAGTGGAAAATTACCTCGCTTGTACTAATACCATGTTCTACACTGTCAAAGAAGATTTCACAACATCACACAATATAGATAACCTACAGACTCCAAAACTATGAACATATACTAACCTGAGATGGGTACTTAGACTTGAAAGCCTTCGGTTCAATGTTGAACCCACCACGTGCAGCAGCTTTATAGATACCATACATTAGTTTCAAATCAACATCATACAAAAATAGCCTCATTCCTTTGTAAATATTTTCGACTACTTCTCTTTTGTTAGAAGGCAAACCTAGAATATTATACTTATAGCAATCCTTTTTTGTTTCTGAGTTGCACATAAAAATCAACCCCATTCCCTCAACCTTCCCTGATGGCTTCTTCTTACCGGATGACTCAGGCACGTCTTGGGAGTCACCCACGGATTTACCTTCAGAGACTCCTTTCTTCAGACCATCTTCAAGTTTCAACCCTGCCTTACGAGGCTGCTTAGTTACACCATTTGAAATTTGTTCACTTCTAGCTTCAGATGAAGCGTTTTCTAACACACTTTTTGCAGGTGTATTCCCTTTCCCCCCCTTTTTTCTTTTCTTCGACTTCTTAGAAAGCATCTTCTTTCCCCTTACTTCAACCTTCTTTTCTTCAGTATTTTCATTACCCTTATCTTGTTCCATCATATCTTCTAGAGTGCTGTCGCCATTAACTTCACCCCCATCAGCATTAGAGTGAACTTTCTTATTTTTACCATCAAAAGCCAGTTTTTTAAAGGAGCCTATTGCCCCCTTCTTCCCTCTCTTTCTTTTTCTGGACTTAAGAAGCACCTGCCTTGTTTCTATTTTCTCTTTAATCGTTTCTTCAGTAATCTCTTCATCCTTTTGTCCTGCAATGCGTCCATCCTTTGATAGATCATCATCGTGATTAGCAGCTTCGCGAATGCCTTCAGTGTCCTCTTCATTTGCAGATCCTCCATTAAAATCTGCAGCTCTATCTTCTTCCTGTAAGATATCTTCTACATTGTCTGTTACCATTTTAGTTGCGTCCTCACCACTAACTACTTCGTTAAGGGCAATTGCACCACCATTCAATTCAAATTCAGAAACATTCTGTCCATTTCTGTCTTCTGTTACCGGTTCTGTAGTGACATTAGGTTCGTTTACCGTTTCTTCTATGACTGTCTCCACTTCATCTCTGTTAATGGAAACAGCTGCCATTTCAACTGCATTCTCTTCATCCTTGCAAGAAGAGACAGTTGTTTGTGGCAGACTTATTGTTCCCACTGTTGAACCCTCCACTTCAACAATGTCAGCAGAAACTGATTCAGGTTCTTCTGCATCCATTGTTGTTGGAGTGGAGTCGCTTGTTTCCACATTATCAGCTGGAGCATCACCAACATCTTCTGGTACAAGTCTGGAAGATGATGCACTGGCCTTTCTTTTCCCACGTGCCATCAGTAATCACTGTAGTTTCGGAACAAGGGTCATTACTCAATCTACAAAATATTGATGAATCTTGATACAGCAACATGTAACAAGAGGCACATTTGGTCACCATTAGTGTAGATTCAATTTAAATTCCAATGGAATCATTGAAACTTTGCAAAAAATCGACGCAAGTGGGCAAATAAACCAAAATATGGCTGAACCAGCAAGGGTGTAAATTGTTCAATAGCCAGCATAATCAAATGATTCAGAACCAAAATCCATTGATTGTACATCCCATATCTTCAGATTTTGCTTGACGAAATTTAAATACTTCTCAGTCCTTTAAAAACATATACCATCCGCTGAAATTATCATTGCACGTGTTTGGTCCAAACCATTGGAATAAAAAAAATACTATGTGACATCAGGAAGCATAAGCCTCAAAACCCCATGCAAAACTGAAAGAAAAGGGGTGAAACTCAATCAGATTTTCCTCTCAGGTTTGCTTTAGAACCCTAAAAATATACGGAGTAATTAAAAACAATTAAAGTGCTGCCACCAGTCACTTTCTGAGGCAGACACTAACCAGTTACAGCGAGTGACTATGCGGCAGAGTATGCGGAAGAAGCTGCCGAAATAGATAGAGGACCTCCACCACTTCATCAAGAGATCTATGAAAGCTTAAAGGAAATAGCTTTGGCCTTGCAGAGACGCAGAACACAAGAGCATTGATGGAAAGTGAAAGAAAGAAGAAATGTTTATGAAGGTCATAATTTTCCTGAAGGAAATTCATTAGAAAAGGGCAAATTAGCTATTTCTATTTAAAGATGCCCTCAAACACTTCCAGAACATCGTAAACATTCGTCGATGTTGTGCACCCCAAGCAAGAACATTGAATTTGAGAGCAAACAAAGGAAATCCAAGACCAGATCGATGCAAACCGAAAACAGATCTGCATTGCTGCGCTGACAATATTCTAAACCAATCCCGCGATTCCAATACCATCGCGAGACTTAAAAGTTTAGGCCAATCACACAAAAGTTAAGCAATCGAATTCGATAAGATACTGAGCGCAGTGATTCTAACTTCAGCTCATCAAACGATCTAAAGTTCGAAACATCGCGGAATCCCTAATCCCAATTAAGAATTGTAGGAAAAATTTCAAGCAGTTGTACGAGCATCGATTTCTATGATCAATCAAATGGCATGGAATTGAACAAACGGATCTACAGATGAAAAATATTGGAAAACAAAGTCACATACCTGCTCTGTGGTGAAGAAGACGTCGACCGAAGATTGAGAATGACGCCAAACGGGCGAAATCAGTTATATAGTCTGTGCTTGAGCAGGAACGGACCTGCTTTGCGGTATGACCCGGTTTAACGGGGCGGTTCTTGGCATATTTTCGGTTGACCCTATTACTCGGTATTTACTTTTATTGTTATTCTGTATGATATGAAAATGTATTTAATAAAATGAAATTTGCACTAAAAAATAAGTCATTTCTCAATTTAGAATTTAAAATATTATATTCTCTAAATGAGATTTAATAATGACTAGTGAGAAGAATAGTATCTAAGTGATGCTGAACATTTAGTTGAATAATGGCTAATAGATAATGATCAATGGTCCTACATATGGTCTTATATTGAGAAAGTCATTATATTTTAGTCCTATTTAATTAATTACCCTTTAATAAATCATCTAAATAGTGTTATAGTAAGAGATAATATCAAAATCATAATTCCATGTTTTTATCCCCAAATAGGAATTTGTACTATGATTATGTAATACTGAATATAGACATTTCACAATATTCTTTTGGTATTGTATATGGTCATGATTGATACTGTATATGCATTTTAAATTTTGGAATAAAAATATGAAATACTTATTTTGATATATTTTCAATATGTTACTCCTACTTTAGTTTTTTTCCTCTTCTTTTTATCCCAAACCTAATTACGGAATATGGTAAAGTTTGTCTAGCTACACCAAACTTCATCGTCGGATGAAGACATAATAGAATTTCAGTCTTCAGATAAAGATAATCTCATTTTTTGAATATTTTGTAGAGATAATTAAAAGAAATAGAGTATATTTTGAAAACTTTTAGAGAGAATGAGAATATGTTGTGTGTGTAAATTTTATTAAAAAGAAATAAGGAGTATTTATAGTAGAAAAATTCATTAAAAAAATGCCCAACAGGCATAATTTGGACCATTGGGGGGAGGGGGCAACGGATTTCTTGCAAACGCGGGGCGTTTGACGCCTTGCTGACGGTGGAGGGGGGCGGTTTTAACGCCCCCGTGCGTTGAATAAGGCTTAACGCTTGTAGATGTTGAACTTATTTCCGGTGCTCTAATAAAATTTGTAGTTGCTAGCTGCATTGTGCAAAATTTACTTATGAGTGGCACAAATAATTCATCATATTTTTCTTCAAATCATCAGGGGCTTTTTCCTCATATTTTTTTTTGATTTTTTCAAACCATCGGGGCCTTTAAATTAAATATTGTACTTCATCCATCCAAAATTTCCTTTCGAGTCACTATTCATGCAGTTAAACTTTAATCACTTTTTTTTATTTATTTTCGTTAGTTATTTGATAAAATAATATAGTTAAGTCAACCTTGTTTTGTAGAACTTTTGATGTATATTTCAAAAATATAATGTTTTTAAATTTTACATCTATAATCAAATAAATTGAATCGAAAATAATTTTAATTAAACCTTATCATGTAAACTAATCCAGGGATAAAGTTTTAGTAGTAGTAAAAACTATGAAGATACTGTATGGTACCAATGTCTAACGTCAAAGGCTCATATTCCCTCATTTTTCCCTTATTCAATTCACTTTACATTTTTACAATCGCAATCTACAAAAAATGATTGAGAAAAATGAGTTTTTATTTGTTTTTTTCAGTTACACACCGATAAAAGAACTACAAGTGGGAAATGGGATAGTGGTCATTGAAGAAGACAATCAAACTAAGTAAATACAGACAAAAAATTTTATTTATTTGAACCCAAAATGAAAATTTTTGATGTATTTTAGAAAAAGCTTGGGTACAAATTGTACCTTTTCATTTTAACTATTTGAATAAACTATATTTTGAGTGTTCGATTCAATGTTCAGTGCATTTGTATTTTATATTGTGAAATTATAATGACATTTTAGGCATTTCATCATATTTCATTTTTAAAATTTACACTATCGTGTTCCTCTCTCATGAATTCATAGATTTGCCAGAGTACTCCTAGAAAATAAAACCAATAATAAATGACATTGAACCACTTTTGACTCTAACAGAACATTGTATAGTCCTACTCTCAACATAGATCAAGAGAACCATGGTTCGTAATAAAATCATTTAACTAGAGCTGAGTTCCATGGGCAGTGATAAAAATAACATATACATTTCCCTTTTTTTTTTGGGTACACATATTTTATCTATCTTTCTTGTTAGTGTTGATGTGGATTGGATCTTAATATGGTGCTAATGAACAATTAATTAAGGCCACCCTTCAAGCTAATATATACATACAAATGGGATATATTATTACACAATCAGCTGCAGAGTTGAGTGCATAGCTTTTGGATGTCCGAGGCACTGCTGTTGGAGCTTGACAAAAAATAATTCCTGCTTTTGTTGTCCAACATACATGTCAAGTTGAAGCTGGTCCCCATTTTGTTTTGACTGCAATTCATCAAGAAAATCACAACGACCAGCATTGTATTGTTAATTATATTGAACTCGTTTCTATTCGATCGATCGAGATGAAATCTAACATATGATGAAGGGGTGAAATCTAACATAAAGTGAGACGTACCGAGCATCATACGTCACAAGTCCATATAGGGGTCGGAAAACAACTCAAGTAATGGCACCATGAACAATGGTCATTCCCATCCACACCTTGGAGTAGCATAACCATGCCAACTGTGAGCCTGTTGTCCAATGCAAATATTGCTATTCAGCTCAACCAAAATTTCAAACTTGTAATTATAGGTCCAGAAAAATATTTTGTATTTTGACTTTGATCAAAGAACACAATGTAGATTAATTATTGATTAGGTACTTGCCCTAGAATGAGGAGAATCAAAGCAAGAATGAGGAGAATGCACTGGTAAATCTTGTGCTTGGCCTTTCTTGAGGGCAAAAAGTAGCCCGGAGGAGCGTTTTTCCGGCTAACGTAGCCAAACTGAGGGCGAATGAGAAGGATGAATCCGAGTAGGAACCCGGTGACGAATCCCCCAAGATGAGCAAAATTGTCTACATGAGGGAGAATTCCCACACCTAGATTTATCAGAATGATGACAATGAGTGTCAATAGTGTTGCCACCTGAAGAAGAAAAAACAAAGAGCCATAATTCAGTACTTGTCAATATATAGATTCATTATTCATTTATACAGGATTGGAGCTTCAAGAAATGCCTTGTTCTCATAAATGCTCCAATTGGTGAGCAATTCAGACAACATGGCTCCAAGCAAACCGAAGAGGGCACCCGAAGCGCCAACTGAGATCGCCGTCCTCACGAATAGAGCCGATGCTAAGCTCCCCCCAATTCCAGAGAGAGTATATAGCAAACCAATCTTCACTGCACAACAAACCCGTGACAAAAAAAACGCGACAAAATGCGCGTTTTTAATTTTTGTTACTAAAACATATGTCATTTCCTAATGTAGGACTTAAAAGTGGTGGAAAAGCTTGTATGTAGCTTCATACCGAACCCGAATTCTTGTTCAAGCCGGATGCCAACGAAGAGAAGGCTGACCATATTGGCGGCGACATGGAAAACGCCGGCGTGTAGCCACATACAGGACATGAGCCGCCACACTTGGTGCTCCTCCACCACCACCTTCCCCACATCCAAAGCCCCCAATTTTCGCAACCTGAAATGATACATAATTTGTTAGAGAATTTGTATTTCCTTGTTTGAGATATATTATGTATATTGGAGGGCATGCAGAGGACTGACGTGTCGGCGGAGGGGCCGAGCAAGGGGTTCTCGCGGAGGCTCTGGAAGGCGAAGGGGCCGAGGAAGGAGGCGCCGAAGCATTTGTCGGAGTTCTGGGGGCAGTTATTGGCGTACATCGCGTAGGCGAAGAGGGCAATGTTGGCGAGGATGATTAAGGGGACGAGCCAGGGGAACCATTTCTTGAAAGGCTGGTAGGGCCCGGGAGGAGGTGGCGGCGGGGGATGGTGGTGGTGGCGACGGGGCTGGACGTTGATCTGAAGCTCGGACTCCGGTGGAGCCCTCCCCATCGCTATGGAGCCGCGGAAGGCTCGAAGAGCGGCGGCAGATCGGTGGCGCCGGTGGTGGGGAGGGAATTGGAAGGGAGGTTGTTGAAAATATCCGGCGGGTGATTAAGATTGAATGGAGGAAAAGTTGGGAACCATACTAGTAGCATTGCATATACATCTCTCCATATTTGAGTTGATTTTAAATGAGGCTATTGGTCATGTTACATGGTTTCGGAATAATTTGTTACAATTATTAACTTTTTATGCAACGGCTTTTACCAATGTTTAAATTCTTTTTTCCTTTTACCCATGGTTAAATCTTTTGTTTGATTATGTTCTTGAAATTGAAAAATCAATGCCAAGTTGTACTTTCTTACTAAAATTTTATAAAACTCGATCAATTCAAAAAAGAATTTATGTTTTTGTGATGTTTGAGTCAAATTGTATGGATATGAACTTTTTATTTGATTCTAAGACCATATACAGCAGCGAGTCAAATTGGTGCCACGCCTGCCACATCATATGGCATCCCTTGTTTGCAAGGCATGGAGGAAGCGTTCCACCCCTCTCCGCGAGGCATGTCCGTGGCACCTTTGCGCTATTTTTTTTCTTTCTTTTTGTTAAACTTGGGACAGGTGTGAATATTTTTGTTATCTAGTGCTTGTCCATCGCATCCAATTTTGAATTCTCCTTCCTTCCAAAATAGAGTTTTGCACCACTTTTTTTCTTTCTTTTTTTTTTAGGTTTTTTAATGAATAATATTTTCCTATAAAGAAGTAAAAATATTTTTATGATAAAATAAACAAGTAAAACAATTAAAAAATATTTTTATATAATTTAATTTAAAAAATTTAAAAAATTAATTTTCTCTTTGTACAATTAAAATCTTTACAAGAAAATGCAATAATTTATAATAAAAAAAGCACACATGGACTATTAAAATATGTCAAAAATGTTAATATTGCCAAAAAAAAGATTACAATTATTTTTATTAAAAAAGGTAAGTAAAATAATTTTTAATAATTAAAATATATTAAAAATGTGTAAAAAATGATAAAAGGAGTGACTTGCCACTGCAAGACATGTCACTCCACTCAAGTAACACACGGTGACTGGACTACTTTTGATTGGTTAAAATACTCTACGTCATCGTGTGGCATTCAATTTCTTACTTGCCATTGCCCATGCTCTAAATTTGTTGGCGTTTACGTGAGTTTGGCTTTTTCAAATTTTTTCAACTAAAAAACTAAAGATAGACACAAAAGTATAAAATGGTTCGGTTCAATTTTAAACACTAATTTTTTAAAAGAAATGTACCTTAATTGGACGAAAACATACTCTTTATTTTGAAAATAAGAGTATAATATTTCTATATTGACATTGTGATATAGTGGCCGAAAATGAACAATGTTGATTTTTTTTAATGGATTAGTGCCGATTTTTTAAAAATGTACTTTAGCATTTCTATTTTGAAAAAAAAAGTGAGAGTTCTATTTTCTATATTTTATTTTTATTTCAAATTTTCTTCTTTCTTTAAATAAAAGTGATCAAAAGACTAAAATAAAAACTCAATTTTACTAATAACTTCTTTTCATTTTTTCCATATGCTTTTTTAGACTTCTTGAAATTAAATCAAGGTAGACATTTATTTTGGAAGATCTGATTTTAAAATATTAGATTCTAGATTTTAAAATTGGAAATTGGGGAGAATATTTTGAGAGAAATAGTACTCCCTAATTGCCTTACAAGGTTTAAAATCCTAGTGATATTCTTTATCCATCGCCCAAGAAATTAATTATGGCATGAACACCACAAAAGAAGAAAAAAAAACATCTTTCCCTTTTTCTCTCCAACCTTTCCATGAGATTTCTCCATCGCCATGAATCACAAGAATTGACGTTACTATGGGTGTGTTTTGTTTCATCAATTCCCCAATTAAGGTTCACTTAATATGGATCGATCTTGCTTTAATTTCTCCATGAGTTTCAAACTCATCCCAATGCCGAAGAACAATAACATGGAGAACCCCATCGCCCCAAGGTGGTTTCCCAGCAAGTTTTGGTTCGTGTTTTTTGTCATGTTCCTGTTTTGGTACGTTTTGATCTACGGCCTCGACTGGTTTTCTTTTCCCAGAACATCTCTATTGTCCAAGCAAGAAACCATAATTTCAATCGAGTCTTTTAATGTTGATCCTGTCAATACCAATAAGAATCGAGAAAGTGGAGTTCATCATCAAAAGCCCAGAAAAAAACCGTGTGATGGGCGGTATGTTTACGTCCACGATTTGCCGAGCCGATTCAATGAGGATTTGGTGAGGGATTGTAAAGTGTTGAGTAGATGGGTTGATATGTGTGAGTATTTGGTGAATATGGGAATGGGTCATGATCTTGGGGATTCTTTCCATGAGAAGGGATGGTTTTCGACGAACCAGTTTTCGCTCGAACCCTTGTTCCACGCCCGAATCAAGCGGTACGAGTGTTTGACTAACGACTCCTCGGAGGCTTCTGCCGTGTTTGTCCCGTATTACGCGGGACTCGACGTGGGTAGGTACCTCTGGGGAGGGTTCAATGTCTCGGTCCGCGATTCGGGCGCTCTTGACCTGGCAGAGTGGGTCAGGGGAAGGCCTGAGTGGGCCGTGATGGACGGTAGGGACCACTTCATGGTGGCGGGACGGATAACGTGGGATTTCAGGCGGTTGGACGACGACGACGGGGAATCTTCTTGGGGGAACAAGCTCATGTTGTTGCCCGAGGTCCGGAACATGACGGTGTTGACCATCGAGTCAAGTCCTTGGAGCAAGAACGACTTTGCCATCCCATACCCTTCTTATTTCCACCCTTCCAACGACCGCCAGGTCACGCGGTGGCAAGACAGGATGAGACGACAACGCCGGCGGACGCTGTTCTCGTTCGCCGGCGGCCCGAGGCCGAACATGGAGGAATCGATCCGAGGCCAGATCATCAGACAGTGCCTCGGATCGACCAGAGGCAAATGCAAGCTCTTGGAATGCAAACCTGAAAACAAAAAATGTGACAACCCATTCAACCTCATGAAGTTGTTCCAAAACTCTGTCTTCTGCTTAGAACCTCCCGGAGATTCGTTCACCAGACGGTCAACTTTCGACGCCATTTTAGCTGGATGTATACCCGTCTTCTTCACCCCTGCCTCAGCTTACGTCCAGTACATATGGCATTTGCCTAGAAACCACACTAGATACTCGGTTCTCATCCCCGAAGGCGATGTAAAAGAGAATAAGGCAAACATAGAGAAGATTTTGTCTCAGATATCGAAATCCCGGGTGGCTGAAATGAGGGAGGAGGTGATTAGGATGATTCCTAGAGTTGTTTATGCTGATCCTGGAGAAAAAATGGAGAAGATTAAGGATGCGTTTGATTTGGTGGTTGAAGGGGTGTTAGATAGAGTGGAAAAGGTGAGGAAAGAGACGAGTGAGGGGAAGAAGAAGGATTGGAGTGTTGATTTTGATGAGGAAAATAGTTGGAAGTATTATGCTTTTGGGAGTTTAGAGAAGCATGAATGGGATCATTTCTTTAGGAGGTCATCCAATTAACTAGAAAAATAGTAGTGCAATTCTTCTTTTCTTTTTGTATGTAGAAAAATGTCTATATATTTTTTGTCCATTCAATATATTGTAGTTGTTATTGTTTAGCTAGTTGGAGAAAAAATAGGAAAATCTTTAAAGTTTTCGTGATCAAAAAAGTTATATGCATCGATGGATATAAATTTGAATGTCCCTGAACAATGATACTCCGTATAAGACAATATCATTATTCATAATGTGAGGGCATACATACATACCCTTCACAAAATTGGAGATTTCAATAATAGTTATAATAGTTATGAGAGTACTATTATGAAAGTATTTTGTATATTTAATTATAATCAAAAGAGACCTATTTAATTATCTTAATGTGGATATGTTTGGTTAAATCAAAAGAGACCTACGTAGTATTTAATTATAATAACAGTGTCTCATTGTTTTGAATTTAATTAGAAAAAGTAACACCCATTTATTTTAAATATGGAAAAGTCTTTATCTCTTTTCCTTTTTTAGTCTAAGATCTCAAATAAAATTGGGCAAAAATAAAGGATAATACGGAATATAAGTCAAAGAAATGAAATAACTATATCTCTTTTCTTTTCTTCTCATTTTTATTCATTTTCTACTCATCCAAACAATATACTTTTTGTTTTTTTATTATTTTCTTGTTATTTTCTCTACTCTCTATTTTTACTTCTTTTATTTTCATTCCTCTAAACAAATCACAAAAGGGTAGATAACATTTATGTTGGATAGGTATGGGTTGAAAATAAAAGGGGGCAAAAGAGACATTTAACATGAAAAGTGCATTATTACCTTTAAATGAAAGTGAACAAATATATTATTGTCTTGTTTGACATCAGTGTTAGATTTAGCGTTTCGAAAAAGATATCTGACGATAACTTTTAGTGTTAACTTTTTCAGAATTAATCTTCGTTATTAAAAATTTATCTAAAACGCTAATGCTAATAAAAACGTTGTTCTCAAACAAGACTTATAACGCCTCAATAAATATAAATGGTCGAAAGATAACCTCTGCATGTATGAAACATAAGAAAGGGATTCGGTTTTCTTTGGTTATACAAATTGGATCTTATTTGGTAACAATTTTTTCTATTAGCCTTAATTCGGTTTTCTTTGGTTATACAAATTGGATCTTATTTGGTAACAATATTTTCTATTAGTCTTAACGTTTTAGATAAAATTTCAATAGTGCAAGTTAACAATGCCGTTAAATAGTCTTTTCAAAACGTTTCAAACCTCTAACGTTGTTGCCAAATAGACTATTATACTTTGTACGACAGAACATGCAGAAGAGAAAAAGCATAGAATTTCTTTTTGTTGAAATAAATATATATATATATTTGGGAAGTGGCCATCAACTTCTTAACGGCGATCCAAAACTCGCACACATGCAAAAATGTATAATTATTTCCGGTGACACTAAAAAGTGAAATTATTATTTTTAAAACTTGAAAAGCAGGAATTATTTAAGATAATTTTTCTTATATATATTTTACTCCGCCAAGGATCTTGTAGTCCAATGACATCGTTATAACTCTCTTAAGTGATAGATCACGTGTTCGATTCTTGACGGAAGTAATCCCTTCGTCCTACTACTATCTTATCGTTCACTATTTACATGGTCAAAATTTATTTACTTTATTAGCGTATTTTCGTTGTCATTTGATAAAATAATATAATCATTTTTTAATTACATATGATTTTTTATATAATATAATTTAAAAATAATATCAGTCAAATATCCAACCGAGACCATATTATTTGCTCCATTTATTTTGAAAAATGTCGTAAATAAAAATCTACAAAGCAAAAAGAAGAAAAAATGAAAGAAAAGGAAAGAAAAAAGAGAGAGAACTGGAGCGCGAACAAAGGGGAGAACCGCACCACCTCATATCCTCGCTGGTCGAATCAATTTCACCCCAAAACATCGCCCCGTCGCCATCTCCATCGCCCCTGCAAAATTTGCGTTTTAGCCTCTTATTATCGGCGGATTGATCAGGTTTTCATTCTCCTCCTTCTCACCGGAATTGAATCGGATCGACTTCAATTGGAACTCAGGTCCATCGAACTATAGCGGATATGGGGAGCCCGAAGAAGAGCCAGAGCAAGGGTTTCTTCGCGTCCATGTCGTCGGGATTGTCGATGTTCAGCAGCGCCCTGCATAGATCTGTCAACGGGTAAGCCTCTCGGTGTTTCTGTTTCCTCGTGCTCAGCCTGCTCTGGCCTATCCGTTTTCTCCTTAGTTCGCTCATGATTGAGAGGATTTTTTAGGTTCCAATTTATAAAGGCGTTGATTTTCAATTTTATGTATGTTCGCGACTTAGATTTTAACTTGGTATCCTTTTAACTCAATTTCCCTTTCCCATTTTCTGAGGTGCTAGAGATATACAAAGAATCCATACAATTATCTATACCAAAGTCTTGACAGATTTTGGATTTTGATTTTTGAACACAAAAGTCTTGTTTGCAGTGACATAGTAGACGAGTCTTATAAATCTGTGTTTGAGTGTTTGCTGGCGTTGCAATCCGCAATAGGAGAAATACACTTCATGCAATTAATGCAGAAGCAGTTTCTTTTATGGACATTAGGTTCATATACGAATTTACCCATAGCAGGGCCATTTTTTGGAGGAAGCAGGGGAGCGATTGCTTACAGTCTCAAAATTTGAGGGGCCCCAAAATTTTTAAACAATACCTTACTACCTTAGTGTATAATACTTCCATCATCCCGAAATAGTTTACGAAGTGTTGAAAAGAATACCTTAAAGAATACTCTGTATGTAGTTGATATTTGTTTAAGAGAGAGAGAGGTGTTGTGGTCTTCACATCAAGGAAAGTAAGAAAAGGCAAACTTTATTATGGGACATCCCAAAATATAAAGTTTAAACTTCATTTTGGGATGGAGGGAGTATGCACTAAATATTGATATAGTTATATAATATAGATCTAAGTAAACTAGTCTTTTTCTATGTTCCAAGTTCAATATTGTTCTAGATTTAAGTGATATTGCATGCTATTCTGATGTAATATTGAATTACTTATATAATCTTAGTATCTCACACCCCTCCCCAAACCCTACTTTGGTGGGATTCAATAGGGTTGTTGTTGTTGGCTGAATATGAGACTATCTAAACCAAACAAGCTCTTAGTTTTACCCCTAATTTATTTGTCACTTTACACCTATATGTCATTTTATAAGAAATCGCTACCACATTTTTTAATGCTACACCAGGTAACTGTTAGGGAGAAAAAATGGACATCCTAAACATAACACTATATGCATATTTGCATATTTCATATTTTGTGTTTCTAGATTGTAACTCATGGATTATCATTTCATTGCTTGAAGCAGTGAATTTGTTGCACTGTAATGTAAATGTGCTTTCCATCTTTGCTCTATTGTGAATAGCTTCATCTATCCCCTTTATTTAGGCTTTATGAAAATGATAGTTATTTCCTCCCACGTTCCTATTTCCCTACGTTAGGTAGGTTTGAACTAGGTAATTCTCAATTTCTCATGGTTCCCCAAGATCCCTCTCATTAATGTGTAGTGGATGGTTTATTTTTGTCCAACTCAGTTCTTTCTCATCGCCTCTAGATTGCTTGGATACGAAGGGTTGGAAGTTATAAATCCTGAAGGAGGTAAAGAAGATGCCGAAGATGAAGCACATCGAGGCAGATGGAGACAGGAGGTGAGCCATCCTTCAATCATATGTAGTTTTCAATTTTACGAAGATAGAATCCTTCCCATAAATTTACTTTTTCCTCCAATTCTTCTAAGTAATCCATGAATATTGACTCACAATTGTAGAAGTGTAATTCACCTATGCTCCTTTGTGCTTATATTATTTGTTTAGTTTATTTCTATGAAAATGTTTTTTTTTGTGTGCATGCATTATGTACATGTTCAGATTTCTTCATAAACATGTAGTTTATTGTGCATTCACATTTCGTCGTAGTTACATTTATTTGTAATACTAGTGTAGTTTTGATATTCATTATTTCCAAACTCAACGTGTAAACTAATATGTTATTGATATATCAAAAGGAGCGAGATAGCTACTGGAAGATGATGCAGAACTACATAGGAGCTGATGTTACATCGATGGTGACGCTTCCTGTTCTTATATTTGAGCCAATGACAATGCTTCAAAAAATGGCAGAGGTTTGTTGCACCTTGTTTGTTTCTTTGTTTGTTTTTGCTGGTACACTACTCCCCACACTTCCCCAATGACCTACCAAAACACAACTAAATAGAAAGAGATGAAAGGAAGGGAGAATCTTCTTTATAATCTATTCTTTTAATTCTTGTGGCAGTTAATGGAATACTCCCATCTTTTAGATAAGGCGGATGAATGTGAGGATCCATACATGCGACTGGTCTATGCAAGTGAGTGTAACCTCACTTTTGTGCACAGAAAATGCTAGTGGATTATCATGTTCTGTTTGATACATTTTTAAAATCAGAGCATTAATGAAAATCCTTGCAGCATCATGGGCAATATCTGTTTACTATGCCTACCAACGCACGTGGAAGCCTTTTAATCCAATTCTTGGTGAGACTTATGAAATGGTGAATCATGGTGGGATTACATTTATTTCTGAGCAGGTAATTCCATTGTGTTCATATTTTCTTTAATTTGCTCTCTGTTGCCTATTGCTGATGTTATTCCTTCCCTCTATTCCAAAATGAGAATATATATAAGGCCGTTGATCAGATCCGAAGTACTTTTGGTCGTTGCAGAATATGTGTGGATTGCAATTTTTCTTTATTTGATATACTTTAGTAGTGTTAATGGTTAAAACTGTACAGGTGAGCCATCATCCTCCAATGAGTGCTGGGCATGCTGAGAATGAGCATTTCATATATGATATTACATCAAAGTTGAAAACCAAATTTTTGGGAAATTCGGTTGATGTTTATCCTGTTGGAAGGTCAGCACGAACTCCTGTTTTACTGCCTTTAGGTTCAAGTTTCTGGTTTTTCTATGAAACCATGTAGTGGCATTCTCATCTTTATATTTGTATGAGAAATAGAGAATGATTTAATTTTTAGTCAGTCTGTCCCATTTTATGCCTTGTTTACAGTGAACTGGTTGAACTTGTTTTTTCTTGACTAGATTTCTTGTACTCGTTATGTATTATTACAGACTTTTTATATTGTAGTCACTACTACACAATTTTTATGACATTTCTATGTAATTTTCATGTACTAAATGTTACTCCCTCCGTTCCGAATAAAGGTTCCACATTTTTTAGTATGTCCGAGAATAAGGTTCCACTTTCTATTTTGAATAAATGATCATATGGTTTACATTATTTCTCTCTTCTCTGCATTACTCTCAACCACTCCATTCCACTCTTCTTTATACTTGTGCCAAGTTAATTATGGAAACCTTAATTCAGGACAAAGGGAGTAATTATGACTTTGAGTTATGAGTATTACAAGTTAATGTGAGGCTCTAACATATCCCTAGAATCATTTACCAATTACAATGCAGTAGAGTTTTGGACGAGCTAAAATGAAATTCGTACTTGAGAAACCCAATAAAATCCCACTGCTAGAGTCAAATTCCAACTCAAGCCCAAAAAGTCACAAATTTTGTAGGTGTGCCCCTTTGTTTTTCGAGACTCGTCATTTTTAAATGACCAATTTATGCTTTATTTCTATGAAGCTTTTATATATTTCGAGGTTCATTTATCATGCTGTAGATGTGGTATGATCAAAGTCAACCTCAGTCTTAAAATTCTCAAACTTTTTATTGGGATATCCTGTGTGTATTAAGTCCTATGAGTATTGGGTCTTACTGCAAAATTTTCTAAGACGTGATTTTGAATATCAACAATGGCTTCAAGCCCTGGTGCACATTCCACACACATCAAATGGTATAGAATAGTGTTTATCGTTTTAGGCTATTAACATTTATATGAATCCTTGTTACTGTTGGCATATTAACTGTTTTTCTATATTAGTTTTTTTTTGCATAATAAGTTAGGTCACCTTACGCTTTTGGCTCACTTGGAGTAATTGAACTAACTATGTCTCAACTCTATATACAATATACATTCTTTTAAAAGCTTCAACATGTATTATGTTTTGAATGCAGAACACGAGTGACTCTTAAAAGGGATGGTCATGTCTTGGATTTGGTTCCGCCACCCACAAAGGTAAACAATTTGATTTTTGGCCGGACATGGGTGGATTCACCTGGAGAAATGATCATGACCAATATGACAACGGGGGATAAAGCTGTGCTCTACTTTCAACCTTGTGGTTGGTTTGGGTATGTTAGTTCTCATTTGCTAGCTTCAAATTGTCTCTAGACAGTTATTCTTTCTGAACAGTTGTTTCTTCTGCACTTTTCTCATAAGGGTGTTTCGTGGCTGTGTTCTATGTGATCAGCCCTATCTTTTGAATTTCATCTTCTTTCTGTTTTCAGTGGCAGGGGTTTTTTCTCTATCATTTTAAGGTAAATAAGTCACATCTGGTTGTTGTATGCATTCATGACTGCATGTTTATGTGCAGGGCTGGGCGATATGAGGTTGATGGATATGTTTACAATGCTGCCGAGGAACCAAAGATACTGATGACAGGGAAATGGAATGAATCAATGAGTTTTCAACCATGTGACATGGAAGGCGAGCCTCTTCCTGGCACAGAACTTAAAGAGGTAATTTGTCATTTTCTAGATTATGTATGATTTACACTATGTCATTGTTATATTAGTGGATAGAACATTAAAATTTAAAGACGTTGAAATATTATGTACTTTTCTTGCATTTAGGAATTTATAGGGGTTACAGTGGTTGTTGTTCTTAGATAGCGAATTTGATGTATAGTTTCTGATACTTTGTATAAACATGGTGGCTGCTCAGTTAATTGTAAGATGACACACTTGCAATGTTGTAGGTCTGGAGACTTGCTGCTGTTCCACCAAATGATAAGTTTCAGTACACACACTTTGCTCACAAAATTAACAGTTTTGATACTGCTCCTAAAAAGTTGCTAGCATCTGATTCTCGTTTGCGCCCTGATAGAGCTGCTCTTGAATTAGGCGATTTGTCCAAAGCCGGTGCTGAAAAGAGCAGGTTTGTCAACCATAACCACGTTTTTTGTCACACCACTACAATTTGTGATTTGCATATTTGTGATAATCTAGTATTCTACAACCTCAAAAAAGGCATCACATTGTAGTGCTTTAAACGTCAAAGAATTGTTAACATATATTAACAGAAGAATGTAAAATACTAATCTGCTCTTCATCCCACTTTAATAGGTCAATTTTTAGCTTTCAGATCAAATGTTTCCAACTTTGATAAATTTTATACTCCGTATATTTCTTTTTGCAAAATGGTTTATATGCAGGCATAAAATAAAAATGTTCTATTAAGAGTACTTTCATAAAGGCACACAATGTACTCTGTATAATGTTTACTAAACCATTGGAGAGTTGTTAATGATTGGTCACCACCGACACCAACTAATTGGGATTAAAGTGTTGATAATGATGATAGATTATGGATTCAAAGATCAACAACTTTTACGGTTTTACCACCAAAGGCAAATATGGCTCATTAGACTGGGATTGGGTGGGGGTTAGTTATCTAAGGTGAAGAATATGGGAAGTTCTGTATTCTTTGAATATACAGGGGTAAAGTTGAATTTTTTTTAATAAATACAGTCTTAAATTTATAAAATGCTAAACTAATTTGGGACAAAAGAAAATTTGAAAAGGTGACATTTTTATTTGTAATGAGGGAGTGCTACTATTTGGTGTCCTACATAGTACGGAGTATTTACTTTTATGTACACAACCATTTCTCTCCAAAGATTGTGTTATCAAACTCGACTACCTTGTTAGGTTGGAAGAGAAGCAAAGAGCTGAAAAGAGAAGCCGTGAGGAAAATGGGCATCAGTTCACACCAAGATGGTTTGACATGACCGACGAAGTTAATCCAACACCATGGGGAGAATTAGAAATTTACAGCTATAATGGCAAATACAGTGAACATCGTGCTGCTGTAGATTCTTCTGGAAGCATTGATGTGGAAGATCCGAGATCAGTGGAGTTCAATCCGTGGCAGTATGGTGATGCGGTTTCTGGGTGAGAAGTCTTTCAAAGTTTTTTTGGTTGCAGTATACATTTGCACTGTGGTTTGTGTACTATATATGTCTCTGTCTACAATGTCGGAGTGTCTGTTTGTCTTAGTGGCTAAGTTGTATTTGCCTGTTTTAGGAGGGGATGCAATCTCTCTCTTTCTCTATTGTGATTTATGTGATTCCAAGCATTTCTCACTCTACACCTAAAAAATCCCATTTCTTTGATACAATTTGGTGTGTCCCAAACATGTATCAGATGTTGCTCAAATTGGTGCAGCAAATTACTCCAAATAGTACTAAACTACATTGGTTTGTTTCCATGCGCTCATGTAGATCAACCAATAAACCTAACCAATGAATATAAGGTTATTTGTGTTTATATACAATTCTCCTTCCCTTATCTTATTGTCATTTCATCAAATTTGCAATTGGTGACCAGTGATAACTATATATTTCAAGAGTAAGAATTGCGGAGTATCAATTTTATCAATAGAGCACCGTAGGTGTCTATGGTTATAATATGATTTTGTTTTTAAGGTCAAATGATCTTTTTTCGTTAATAATTAGATGTTGAGTAAATTTCATAAATGTTCTCCAATTGCGAGTATTTTTTCATATTTAGTCCTCAATTCTTAGATATTCAATAAATGGTCTTCAATTTTGAAAAATTATTTCACTAATAGTTCTTTAGGCCAAATATGAAAAAATATTTTTTTCACAAATAATTCCGGAAGGACTGATTATGAAATAGTTTTTCAAAATTGATGATCGTTTATAGAATATCTAAGGAATGAAGATTAAATATGAAAAATCACTTGTAATTAGGGACTACTTAATAGAACTTACTCTTAGATGTTTTTCCAATTTTATTTTGTCAAATTGAGTAACATGCTAACAGCTAGCCCCCCACGACTAACCGGCTTTCCTTTGTTTATCTTGGCAAAAAAATTAAAAAAAATTGGTTTTAAGGGTGGTAAAAAATCCTTGGATAACCGTAAATGTCTATCGTACTTGGGACAATTTTTGCTGCCGGGTAGTTATAAAAAAAACAAAACGACGGAGTATCGTTTTATTTTTGCAAAAATAAAATAAAAAGCATTTGGGCTACAAAAACTCATTTTCTACCCAATTGTTACATCGAGTGTAATTCACCTATAATATTTTATTGTCAGTAAAAATGTCACACTAAGGAGGATAAATGTTATGATGGTACGTGAGTTCGATTCTTGGCAACTGCGTCTAAAAGTGTGCTAATTAGTAAGTTCTGCAAGTAACGCTCCACTCTTTGCCACCATTTTGTAGTCAAAGTCTAATTTACCTCTTCTCAAGTGACCGTCCGGCAAGATGTATGATTTCATTCTCTTTTTTTGTTATGGATAAAATTATCTGACAAGGGTGGAAACTGACCACGTATATAGCCACGTGTTATTCATTTGTCGTCCGAGGATGTTTTTTTTTATTATGAACAACACTTCGTAATATACATAAACCCCATATTTTTGTATGTCCAAAAGAGAGATGGAAAAAAAACAAAGGGCGAGAAGAAATTCCCTCCATTGGTTGACCGGACGTTTTTCTCGAGTACGAGAGACCAACAGGTGACCACCCGATTCGGAGAGGGCTCCACGTGGCAGAATCCAGAGCCAGCAGTATGGCGGGAGTGTGGGGGCGGAGAACCGGTCTTC